AGGGAAACAGTGCCAAGAGTCTGTGTCCACTTAGAAATATTAGAGCTTCAGGAAGTCCGAATATGCAGTGCCATCAGATAAAGAATGAGATATATCCAGGTCAGAGTGTTCAAAGGCACCCCAAACTGCTGCGTGCAGAGTCCACATCCTTGGAAAAGAGGAGTAGATCATGCCTCTTAAGGAGGGTACTTTCTCCAGGACTTAGAGTGCTCTGTGCTAGCTGGGACATTTGCTCGCTTTCTTCGGGCTTAGGGAAATTGGGGGAAGGGACAAAGAGATCTCTTGTCAGCACCTGTTGCTTCTGAGAAGAACATGTAGCTTCACTGAGTCAGATTTGGAAAACAACTTCACAGTTTAAGACCCTGGAGAGCTTGATTCTCAGTGCCGGATCTCCTTGTGGTAACTGGATTGACTGTCTTTTCATTTGGGTTATAGGATCCGGAACATCAACTGGTTTTGACCTTGTAAAAACCATCATTACTGTGGTCCTGGAAGAGGTGGGTTTTTGTCCACAAAGACTTGTTCTTCTCCACTTAAAAATCAGATGGAGTATTTATTGTTAATGTGACTGGGTTCTTACAGACTAGAATCTTTTTCTAATGGTGCTTTTGCTGATGGTTTGTTTCTCTCTTACAAGCATCCCTGTAGGGATTGATTGCTATTCTCAGAGTCTCTGGGTGGAACTCTAGGACAGGACTTCATCCTGAAAACAAAATGTTCCAGTATATGGGTCTATATTCAAAGGTTAGACAAGAAATATTAAATTTTAACATGAGAAGTGAAAGGAGAAGGTATAATTAACAAAATACCCTGGGGGAATTTTTCATTCAGTATTATTAAGAAGTTGGTCTGGTCCACATCTTGTTTTCATTAACAATTTGGGACCTAGATTACTATCCTTAGGTAGAATTCCACTCTGGAGAGTGGGTGACAAAATGAGATTGTTGCTCTAGCATGAAGTTCTGCTGGAGTAGGAAACAACGGAGACTGAGACTTGTCTTGGCCCCAGGGGGATTATTTCTCTGGTGGTAAATATAAAAACTTTTTCCTAACATGTGACTTAAAGACAAGCAGCTTTTAATCCTTTACTAATGCTGTCTGAACTTCCAGACAGTAGTAATAGCAAAGACTACCAGAATCAAATCTAATTTGTAGAAAACTGGCACAGTAGTCCACTGTTTCAAAGTGACCAGAACACCAGAAAGATGGCATCCATGGAATTTAATGGCTGCAGAACTATGAGTCACTCCTCAAGTGAATCTCTCCAACAAGGCAATCATGAAATTAGATTTGGACCTCCTTTCCTGCTTGGTTGCAAGAGGAGAGAGAAAGGAAGAGAGAGAGAGTGGGAGAGAGGATATGAATGAGAATGAAAATGCCTATTTACTGTCAGTACAGGGGGAAGAGAATTTCAAACTGTAGATAGCGGAACCTCCGGTTTATAGAAAAGCTAAGAAGGATGAAAGTTTACAGGTCTTTTCTGTTTCAAATGATAATCTCATCTGATATGTTTTATTTGTTTGATAAGGCAAATCCAGCTGCCCTAGAAGAAACTACTGAAGCCAGCAGCACTGCCAACCCTTGGGGCAGCTCAGGGTGAGCTCGTGGGCATCACTACTGGTTAGGCCCACCCTGGCCCCATGTCAGACACACTGGTTATTCATGAGATTAACTAAACTCTGCTATTTCAGCATCTCTCTGATGGGCTCATTTTTTCTTTCCAGAAGATGCACAGTCTGAAGGAAGAGCATATCCTTCCCCAGGGTTACAGCTGCAGCCAGAAAGAGAACAGGAACTGAGACAGAACAGAACAGTTACTGCTGTAACTAGAAGCAGAAACTGGATGGAGTGGGTCTGCCAGGCAGATCCGTGGGCAGCTCTAGAGATGCCTGCTGGGCTCGCCGGCACATTGGGCAGGAGCTCTAGCCTGGGCACCTGGCCAGGGGGTGCAGGATGGATGGCAGTGGACAGAAGGTCACTGGCCAAGGAAAGATATTCATGGTGGGGCAGTGCAGTGCAGGCTTCAGTACTGAGCCTGGTGTAAAGCAGAGGGAGGCTCTTCACCATCTGTCTCTACACTAGTTCACCTCGCAGGAAGGAGCTCTGGCAGGAAGGAGCTTGAGAAGGAGAATCCAAGGAAGGCTTGGCTCCATGGTGGATGTCGAGCTGCCCGCAGAGAGAATACCACAGCACACATTAAGTTCATAGGCCTCATCCCTCAAACTGCAACTCACAGCTGCTGCAGTTGCCGATACTAAGTGGAGAATCGTAAGAAAGAAGGGACTGGATGCCCAAACCATTCCTGAGCTAACTAGCCAAGTGCTCATGGTCAGGTTCAGAGGTCACTATTCACTATTTTCCAGGTTTTCAATCCTGTTTTGCCGCATGAGGCTTAAACAATTCATGCTACGGACCCCAGTGGCTCACGTAGGTTGCTTCCCTTATTCTAAGTGGACACAGCCACTCTCTACATACCTTTGACCACTCCAACATCAGTGTACTAGGCCATTCCATCCTTAAGCTTCCACACCACACCTCTCCTGGTTTTGCTCAAACATTACCAGGTAAGGTACCTCCGTGCTCAGGGGTCCCTGGCCAACTCAGGGGGATGGCACACTTTCTGTGTGCTGCTGGTCAGAATGGCCCTCGTGAGCACTAACCTGTGCACCCACCTCCTGCTCCAAGCACTGAAACTAAGAGCAGAATTAGTGTAGATAGAAGATCTAGGGGTGTGTTTGGGTTTCCTGTACACCGTGCATCCTGAAGACACTGAACACCAGACAGACCTACCATCTGGGCAGGTAATGCCCTACAGGGAAATCAACATTGGACGGGACTCTTCCTCGGCAAAGGCCTGTCTCCCCATCTAGACTTCTTAACCTCTCCTCTAGAAATTCTCTACTGGAAATTAGTGCCTCCCAGTCTTTGCCTCCAGATGCTCTGAGATGTTCATAGTAACAGGAGAACAGAGACTTTCTTTTTCTCTGAGCCTGAACCTGACTAGGGGCTGGCCCCAGGTTGAGGCCTAAGAAAGATTAGTACAGCTGGGGAGGAAAGTCTTGGCGAGTATATAGATTTGTTCTGATCTCCAGTGTTTCCATCCTGGAGTGGAAGACCTCACCGCACTCTGGGGCAACTTACTTCCTTTAAGCTCCCACACTGATCCTCAGGCCCCAGTGCTGAACAGGTGTGGCCCAGGTCACACAGGTCTCTGTCTAAGGCTGCCAGCAGGATGGGAAGGCAGTGCTGTAGCGCTGAGCCCAGGCCTGGGAGAGGGTCATCACTGAGATGGCAGGACCGAGCCGGTCTCCTGGCACCTTGCTTGTCCCTCCCTACCCCCAGGATGCCCTCCTGCCTGGGTGAGCTGGGTGAGCTGGGTCACCAATGCAGGAGCCTGGGGAAGGGGGCTCTCCCCAGGGAGGGGAGGGGAGGGGACGGTTGCAACTCTGCTGCGAAGATAAGGCAGAAGCTCCCACTGGGGGTGCTGATAGGTGGAGGGAGGAAGGAGTCCTCAGGCAGTTTTAGGAAGGGGACCCCCAAAGTGCCCATACTAGGGAAGCTCCTCATCACGGTGGAGGTGGGCGGGGGGAGGTCAGGCGAGATGAAGCAGTTACTCCTCTAGTGCCCTGGCCCTCCGCCTGTTTCTTCAGACGAAATTCTCTACATCATCCTCCTCAGTTCCAACCCCTCCCGTCGCGCCACCGCCCCGCCCTGTGCCCATCCCTGCTGGCCGCGGGTCCACCACCCAGGAGCGGCCTCCCCTTTCTCCTCCCCTGCGGCTCTCTCTGTTTTTCCTTGGCATCTGGCCGGGCATGGCCATCACCCTCCCCCTCACACTCCCCACATCCCTTTGCTCCACTGAAGGCCCACCCCCCTCTTTCAGGGTGGGGGGAGACAGGAGGATGAATTCCTTCAGTCCCTTCTCAGTCTGCCTTCCCTCCCCTGGGACTGAGGCTCTGAGCTGTGGCTCCCCTCCAGGTCTCCCCATAAACTGCCCCTGCCACCCCATTAGCCATCACAGCTTGTAAGAAAGCGGAGGTGCCCCCACAGCGCTGACCTACATAGCCCTGCCCGGGCGGGAGGGACTCTTCCCCAAGCCCCCCACCCCGGCCCCGCCTCCTCCTCTCCCCACAGCTCTACAATTACGAACGGAGGAAGGTTTGAGTTCCAGCCTGGGACCAAGGGGTTAGGCATGCTACCCCACCCCACATTTGGGAAAATCACTGCTTAGCCCCGGAAAGAGGTGGCTTTTCTAGGCGTCCTCCTCCCCAAATATCTTGCTCCTTCCTTTTGACCAGCCTTCCCACTGCCCCCTCCTCCGCTCGGCTCCAGTCTGGGTTTTCTTCCCCAGCTTCTGCCACCGCCATCCCGGGGCTCCTCCGCCCGGTGTTGTTGTTTTGCTCCTAGGAGAGCCCCCCCTCCCCGCCCTACCCACGCCCCCCTCTACAGCCTCACCCAGGCCCCCTTCTGCCCACTCTGGGCTCCACTGTGGGTGGGGGCGGGCGGGGCGCATAAATGTTTGCATACAGCAGTTTGGGGGGTTGCACCGACTCCCCAACCCCTCCAGACATACATACACAAACACCCGACACACGCCCTGACTGAAACAGCGATACATCTCACTCCGCCCCCAACACACACCACACCGACACAGACACACACACACACACACACACACAGATACTGACACACAAACGCCGAGCCAGACACCGACACAGACGCGCACGGACACCGACAGCCAGACCCGGTGGCTCATAACAGACCCAACCCGGGCAAACGCAGACACTCGACGGGGCCCAAGGGGTGCGTGCCCGGCACCTCGCGACCCACAGAGACGCCCCACGATCAACAGAGACGCCTATGCTTGGAGACAGACACCCGGGCACCAGCAGGGCTGGCTACTTTCACCCGGTTCCAAACAAAGCGCTCCCCGCCCGCCGCCACCGCTCACGCCCCCCTCCCGCCGCCCCCTCCTCTCCGACGCCCCCACCCCCACTCACCGTCCTGGGAGAGGGTGGCCCCTCCGGGCGCCCAACGGCTGGCGAGGAGCAGGAGCAGGGGCAGGGCGCAGGGGGCCCCCATCGCGCGTCCCGGCCGGCTCCCTGCAGCGCACGGCGAGCTTGCTCCCCCAGGGGCTGAGCTGCGGCGGGAGCGACGAAGCCGCCGACCGAAAGGGCGCCCCGAGCCGCTAGGGAGCCCGGGGCCGAGGCGGGGACCGGGAGGGAGCCGGCGCTGCTGCAGTCGCGCGGATTAAATAGGGCGCTCGG